ATATATATATATATATATATATATATATATATATATATATATATATATATGTATATATATATATATATATATATATATATATATATATATATATATATATATATATATATATGCATATATGCATATATGTATGGATACATATATATATATATATATATATATATATATATATATATATATATATATATATATATATATGTATATATATATATATATATATATATATATATATATATATATATATGTATGTATGTATATTGTATGTAAATACATAAAACACACACACACACACACAGACACACACACACACACACACACACACACACACACACACACACACACACACACACACACACACACACACACACACACACACACACACACACACACACACACACACACACACACACACACACACACACACACATATATAATATATATATATATATATATATATATATATATATATATATATATATATATATATATATATATATACACACATATGTATATATAATTATATATGCAAATATATTATATATGTTTACATATACACACACACACACATGTGTGTATAATATGTTTAAATGTATATATATACATATGTATATATAATATATATCATATATATTATATACATACATACATATATATACATATATGTATGTATATACAATATACATATATATATCATCTATAAGAGAATCTGAGAACAGTAAGGAATCTCGCCTCGTCTCCAAGCCCGACGCAGGTGTCACAAGGACCCTCGTGGCACCAAAAATCTCCGGAAGGTGCCAAAAGGCATCTAAACTGCCCCTAAATATAGGAACCTCAAGGCGTTTAAAAGCAAGACCCACAAGTGGGCAACACTGTTTTCCGAAGTTCCAATATGCTAACACACAAACAAACACACAAACAAATACAGACAACGATATACATAGACACAGGTCAGCTAGTCACAGAGAAGGAGGGATTCAAACTGGCGATCTGCTCACCCTCAGACTACGAGAGATGTTGCATTTCGTATTGAAAAACTTTCGTATTGAAAAACTTACGTTGTTTTTTGTTTTTTACTCATTTCATACTTGTTTATACTAGTAGTTTTTTTCATATGATAAGTGTTTTCGTGTGTGTGTGTGTGCGTGTGTATTTAGTAGTCTTAGTTGAAGTTGAAGTTGACAAACAAAATACGAGACCGAAAAGTAAACAGAAGTTGTAATCAATCGGGTGATAATACGTTGCACCTTCCGCGCCCTGAGGGTGAGCAGATCTGCCAAAAAAGCTTTGTGCAACAGTGTTTCTCACGGTCAGTCGACACACAAACACAACGAAGTCCCTAACCCAGAACAGGTATCACTCCTTCAGCTCACTATCCCCACCAGTAGCGTGCGCGTCGCTAGATCATCACCACCACCACACCCACACCATAACGGCAAGAGATGCCCGCCAAAACCACGTTCTTGAGCCGCCAATCTGCACGCGCTTCGCAGATCAGGGGAAGACACGGGGAGAAAGGGGACCTCGGAACGTCCAATCATCAAAACCTCACATCCCGTTCCTATCACGAAAAGGGGGACTTTGGACCCTCAAGAACACTCTAAATGGACCACCACTTTAGGAAACGCAAAATAGATCAAGCATGGAAAATCTGTTACGAACTTACTTCCACACAGATCGGCGTCTGCATGCAGTAATGGGCAAGGCGTCTGAACCTCAACATCGAAACGCACACGTTAAGATCCTCTTTTACGAAGCTTTTGTTCTGAGTTTGAAACCTTTTCTCTTATGCAAATGACGTTCAGATTCCTATCTCTCTTTAACCAGTACCTAATGCACAGTGTAGCATTATTCGAGCGTAAATAATAGCGTACAGTATAGTATTCGTTACAGCGCGCATGTGCAGACGAAGTTGAGGCTACGACTCCTCGCCCCATTTTACCAGTCTCACCAGGCAGGAGTCATTCTCGTGAGCCGACAAGGGAAAAATCCCCAGGAAAAATCACCTTCGAGAGCTTGCGAAGGAGGAGGTTGATACAACCCTACAAAACGGCAAGACAAATGAACATCGAAAGGATTGGAATCCCTTCGTGTCAGAAACAACCTTATGCGTAACGATACATTCGTATCTTAGAGTAGAGCCACACAATACCAAAGGCTAATAATATTTTATCGGGCTCGCAAGACACACGCAACACACATATAAAACTACCCATATGAAAACACAAGAAAAAAACAATGTGAATATTCGTCCCATGTCTTGTATCCCCCGTAAGAGCCTTCCCAAACACCAAAATATTTTATCCTCGCAACCTTTATGTGAAATCTTGATGTCAGAACACGAGCGAAAGATCACAGACAGGATCACTCCCAACACAAATACGCCAGCTTATTTTACCGTTATTTGCATTGAATGTTGCTACCTAATTATGTATCACAACAACTATCTTTTTTCTAAGAGTAATGTACACTTCATTATAACTAAACGCTGGCATGACATAAGGCCTAGCAGCAGAGGTGTGCCACCGTTGGGTGCCTACCAACAGATCGCATTGTTCTCGCGTTCTCCTACGTTATCGGGTTTCGTATTCTTAAAAGCCTTAGCCTCTCCGAGTGGGTGGAGACTCGGAGGAAAAGTCTGACAAGTGTGACGGCGTTCGAAACTACAGTGGTTGGAATAAATAGTAACCATGCAAATTACTATAATTGGTAATTCTGTTCAGTATAATCATCATAATTATGATACCGATATCATAAATGATAATGATGGTAGTAATAATGATTATCATATTAATATAATGACAAAGTAATAACCATGCTAACAGTATCATTACTGATATTAAATCACTATCAGCTCTTTAATATTCGACAGCATGACTGTGCAACAAAAAGGAAAAAAAGATTGCTGTCAGACTCCAACGCTGCTGATCGGGCGAAAAAAATATGGAGGAACAGAAAAAGGAGTAGTAGTAATGGTAGTAATAGTAGTAATATTGATAGTAGTAGTAATAATAGTAATAGTAGTAATAAAAGTAGAAGTAGTAATGATAATAGTAGTAGAAGTAATAAAAGTAGTAGTAATAATAATAGTAGTAGTAGTAGTAGTCGTAGCAGTAGTAGTAGTACTAGTAGTAGTACTAGTAGTAGTACTAGTAGTAACAATAGTAGTAGTAATAGTAGTAGCAGTAATAGTAGTAGTAATAGTAGTGACAGCAATGGTAGTGGTAATAGTAACTTTAGTAGTAACAATAGTAGTAGTAACAGTAGTAGTAGTAGCAGTAATAGTAATAGTAGTAGTTGTAATAGTAATAGTGGTGGTAGTAGTAATAGTAACAGTAATAGTAGTAGTAGTAACAGTAGTAGTAATTGTAGTAGTAGAAGTAATAGTAGTAATAGTAGTAGTAGGAGTAATAGTAGTAATAGTAATAGTAGTAGTAGTAGAAGTAATAGTAGCAATAGTAGAAGTAGTAATAGTAGTAGTAGTAGCAGAAGTAGTAGTAGCAGCAGTAGTAGTAGTAGTAGTAGTAGTAGTAGTAGAAGAGGGCAGCGCGCTACTCTTGCCGTCGACAGAGCCAGGGCTTTTATGAATGAAAGCCTGCATAAGTAGGCGTTTGTTAAGCGTAGTGGCGATGGGAGCACGGGGGAGCAATATGAAAGAATGCAATATGTACATACACAATACATATATGTTTACATACAATATATAGAGCACAAACCTCGAAGACTAGAACCTGAAACACGTAACTTGATGTGTTGCAAAAAGACAAAGAGTAGACATATGTACAGACTTATATGGAAATGTCAGTACAAAAATAATGTAACACTAGAAAATGTTTACTTTAAAAGTAACAAGCACAAGGAAATGCTTTAGAAGCTGTGCGAGAGAGGAGAGATTGGCTGCCTTTGTTTCAATTGTGAAAACTTCACTTTTATTTCAGATAACATCCCCTTCGAAAATCAATCTTTTTTTAATGTGAATACCCAAGTTGTTCTCGAGGTCATCGCCAATGAGCAACATCATCATATAGCCACGGAATATCCTCGTAAGCACCCAGGCTCTCACAAATGACTACACATCATTATACATGCTACCCACTTACAAGGAGCTGGGCCATTCACTCGCCAGACCAAAGGCTTCACTCTCACTCCTCACTCCACGCCATCACGTGATTACACACGCCTTGCAGAAGCCCATGGAAATGGATCCTTCACAAGACGACAACAGCGATTTCACTTGTAATGTTGAAGACCATGATTATCAATAAATTTCGCATATTTTTTTAGCTATTCCATCTTTCTTTCTGTCTTTTTTTATTTGAAAAAGGATACAAATCGCAGTTGGACTCTTATTAAGGATCTTAGTTTTCTGAGGCGTCTTCCTCGTCTTACAGAATATGCTTAAGGTACCTCCAGAGGGGTCCAAGTATACTAATATTTACATATTTATATCTTTTTCTCCTTCAAACCAACGAGTTTAAAACATGTTCAGGAAAACTGCTATCCCGATTGGTAAATTTGGAAAAGTTGCTGTAAATGTCTGATTGTCATTATTTTGGTGCTATAATATTGTTATACAGGTGCAGCCAAGTCTCTTGAGATATATCGCAATGGGCCAAAATGTTGCACAATATGTGTGTGACATTAAGAATGCAGTGATACGTGATTTTAAGCAGTGGGAGATTTCTGTCATCTATCGACTCTTGCAGGGAGGTTTACAGGGTGTAATATATTCAAGGGGGTTAAAACACAATGCATACAATAGTTCAAAACTCTTTACCTCTCTATAGCTAATGTCGAAATTCAGCTTTTCTCGCGAAAGTCATTTATTCTTTTATTACAGAGTCGAATTCGACACTGATTGACAGACTAAAGAGTACTACAACCAGTAACTTTTTTCTTTTGTTCTTGTGCTTCACTCCTGGAACACATGGAGACACTTTTACAAACTATGTCACCTATACTGATCTGTCTGCGAGATGGATTAAAAAAGTTATACACATACGTTGCTGCTGCTGCTGATTTTTTTGGTTCTTGAACAAATAAATATACAAAAACATCCACATTACATATAAAAGTTTCTAAGTTACATGCTGGATGAATTCTTGAAACATGATAATATAGTTCTCAAAGTTAAAGACCTACATCTTTTAACCAGGAAGACATAAACCTAACACGTGTGAACCAAGCCAAGTGAACTGCTCCGAAACAGAAATGTGAAGAAAACTAACCCACAGGAAGGACCATGGAGATGAAAAAGAAAAAGATGTACTAAGGACTCTACATGCATTTTCCCCCAAAAGGCATTGGTTTCAAAGAGGATTTGCAGTTTGGCAATATTTTGTATTAGTGTGAAATGCGAGTAATATTTGCCGTTTCTGAAATCAGCACAGAAGCGTTCGATCGTGAGTGAGTGGACACGAGCCTCCACTTGAAGCAGCCAATCACGGTTTCTTATGCTCGTTGTGACGTCAGAGTTCGTATTTCTAGCTAAGCAGGGAGGGATTGTGAATATAAAGAGTAACGACAAGGTACAGTACAGGGACGATACAGTGTGGGAGACCAGCTCCGTCTTCATAGTGTCTACAGTATTTTTGATCAATAAATATTATATATATACTCTGAGAAATCACAGATTAAAGCCATTGTTTTTGGAATGTACCAGGTATCTTTTAATCATTATTACGAATAATTTTATACAAAGATTTCACACTCAAGACAAAATATCACATGTCTCAAGATGATATCTATTTATTGTTCTTTTGAACCACTATATACTCTTTAAGAAAGGGCTGGAAACAGTAACCAAATAAATACAAGCTAATGACATTGTGAGGCAGATTGCAATGCTATGTTTAACTCTGGAGATGATGCGTTAACACATTCCATTTGCAAGGTCGGCGACCCCAGCAATGGGATGTATGGTCGAATGTGAACCCAGACTCAAGAGGCCAAGAGTCAGGGAGAACCTGAGACCCAAAATGTGACAAAGAACAAGGGAAAGACTCAAGGTACGGCCGAAACCAAAGTAGGCCTTCCCTCCGCAGAGGGAGGGAGGTGAATAGTGCATTAAACAATTTAGCGCCCCTTTTGCACGGCCTAGAGAAAGGTAGACTCAAAAACTCTTCAGCATATTTCAGTGAAAACCTCCAGGCGTATCCAAGTCAAATGATGACGCCCTCAAGGAGGAAGCTCCCTCCTCATACAGTCGAAGCTAAAAGGCAGGGGAATCTCTATCGAGAGAGAGCGTCTTAGGATTCGATAAGAACGTGCCAGCGACAGACTTGCTCTCCTTTCGAGTCTCGCATTTGGTTCCAGTGAGCTAGTTCCTCTTCTCCCGAGCTGTTGAGGCCCAGAGCGAACCAGCCAATCATGTCCTTCCTCTTCATACTCCTCTTGGTGTACACAGACACCATGAGCGTTACGTCAGGTAGCTGGAACAGCGCCACCTGGAAAATGACACGGGTTATACATCTCTACTGCCACAGCAAAGAAAACATAAATCATTCGCCCTTATATCAGCCATTTTAAAGACTATAAAACCCTCTTGGCGATAGCACCATGATATTTTATATTATTTTATTTTATCTATTTATTTATTTTTACCTGAAACATGAATGTCTCCTTGAACAGTGGGTTAGGCTGCCCCCGCCGCACCGATGTTTTGCTGTGGGCGATCTCCTGACCGCTGGATGACATGAGTACCAGCTTCACGTATGTGTCTGGAGCTCGGGTGTTCGCCATGTTCCTGAAATCATCACCGTGCCTGTAAATGATCGCATCCACTATTACTACACATGGACTACCTACTGCCGAGCCAACAACCACTGCTGACAAAGGGACGCATAGTTACGATGGTTAGCTACTATGGGCGGGGGAGAGGAGTTGCTAGTTTCCACGGGGGGTTAAAAATTTTTTTAGGAGGATACGGGAGTAAACTATCTATTTTTTTTATGCTAATAGAAACTGCTTTTGTAAGGCATGGCTACATTACAGTATTTCTAGAGCAAAAAGCGCAATATTTAAATACTATGGCCGATGATTAGAAATTGCCGCTATCACAGAAAAGAATTCTTTAGTGTACATATCTGTATAAAAATTATACTTGCTAGCTACGTCAGCGACATAACAAAGGCCTCTGAATATATAAAATCAAACAACTTACATATAACCTACAACAAATCTCTAGGTACTATTATCAACGAAAAATGTCACAAACTGAAAAAAAGAAAAAAAAAGAGAACTAGGCTTGATTAAGATCATCATGAACCAAAACTCTTATATTTTCTCCTCATAATGAACCTGTCATGCACAAAAAGTAAACACGTCCCAAGAAGTCTGCCTTTAAATAAACACAATTCGATGAAGATACACAGGGAAGGGAAATGATAATGAACTCAATATCACCTACACAAATTCCAGAAACTAAAATGATTTTGTTGAAGTAATTGTAATATGAACTTGAACAGTATTTTGAGACTCATGTTCAAGTATTTTTGTTCAAAA